GCAGCAAGAGCAGCAGCAGCAGGAGCAGGAGCAACAGCAGCAGGCGGAGAAGGAGGAGGAGCAGGAAAAGAAGAAGAAGAAGAAGCAGCTGCAGCAGCAGCAGCAGGGCGTCTTTACAGAACCGAAGAGGCAGCCCCAACAGACGAAAAGCGCAGAGGAGGCAGCAGGAGCAGCAGCAGGAGCAGCAGCAGGAGCAGCAGCAGGAGCAGCAGCAGGAGCAGCAGCAGGAGCAGCAGCAGGAGCAGCAGCAGGAGCAGCAGCAAAAGCGGGGGCAGAAGCAAAAGCAGCAGAAGCAGCGCAAGCACCAGACGGAGAAGCAGCAGGAACAGCAGCAACACCAGCAGCAGCACCAGCAGCAGCAACAGCAGCAGCAACAGCAGCAACACCAGCAGCAGCACCAGCAGCAGCACCAGCAGCAGCACCAGCAGCAGCACCAGCAAATCGGGGAACGTCAGACTTGTGGAGTTGCTTATGGCATTTGCTATCTCTGTAAGCAGCAGCAGCAACGCCCTGCTTTTCTCAAAATCAGCATGTGCCTATAGATGCCTCCGCCGTATATATATATATATATATATGTATATATATGTATATATATATATGCATATGTACTTCCACTTATGTATATACGTACGTATGTATATGTCGGAGTTGCTTACGGCATTTGCTTTCTCTGTAAGCAGCAGCAACGCCCCGCCTTTCTCAATATCAGCGTGTACCTATAGATGCATTCGCCTATAGATGCATTCGCCGAGCATATATATATATATATATATATGCATATATATATATGTCTATATGTATATGTACTTCTACTTATGTATATATGTACATATGTATATGGCATTGGCTCCCTCTGTAAGCAGCAGCAGCAGCAACGCCCCGCTTTTCTCACTATCAGCAGTGCCTATAGATGCTTCTGTCGTATGTATGTGTGTATATATATATATATATATATATATATGTGTATGTACTTCTTCTTATGTATATATATATATATATATGTATATGTCAAACTTGTGGAGTTGCTCGTGGCATTTGCTCTCTCTGTAAGCAGCAGCGGCAGCGACGCGCCGAGTACTAGCATGTGCCTATAGACAACTCCGCCGTATGTATATATATATATATAGATATATGTATATATATACGTACTTATGTGTATACGTACATATGTATGTGTCGCACTTGTGAAGTTGCGTATGGCATTTGCTTTCTCTGTAAGCAGTAGCAGCAGCGACACCCCGCTTTTCTGGATATTAGCATGTGCCTATAGATGCCTCCGCAGCATATATATATATATATATATATATATATATATATGTACTTCTATGTATATGTGTACATATGTATGTGTCGGAAGTATGGAGTTGCTTATGGCATTTGTTTTCTCTGTAAACAGCAGCAGCAGCAACGCCCTGCTTTTCTCAATATCGGCATGTGCCTATAGATGCTTCCGCCGTGTATATATATATATATATATACGTACTTCTCCCTATGTATATATATATTTATATGTCGGACTTATGGAGTTGCTTATGGCATTTGCTTTCTCTGTACGCAGCAGCAGCAGGAACGCCCTGCTTTTCTCAATATCAGCAACTGCCTATAGATGCCTTAGCCGGATATATATATATATATATATATATATCATGTATGTATATGTACTTCTACTCATGTATATATGTGCATATGTATATATGAAGTTACTCATGGCGTTTGCTTTTTTTTGTGAGCAGCAGCGGCAGCAACGCTCCGCTTCTCTCAGTATCAGCATGTGCCTATAGATGCCTCCGCTGTATGTATATATATATATACATATATCTATACACCTCCACTTATATATATATGTACATATGCATATGGCATTTGCTCTTTGTGTAAGCAGCAGCGGCAGCCACGCCCCGCTCATCTCAACATTAACATGTGCCCATGGATGCCTCCGCCGTATGTATATATATATATATATATATATATATATATATATATATATACATATATATATATACATATATGTATAGGTATGTATATGTACTTTCACCTATGTATGTATGTACATATGTATGTGTCGGACTTATGGAGTTGCCTATGGCAGCAGCGGCGGCGGCAAGAAGGAGAGACAAGTAGCTGCCGCTGCTGCTGCTGCAGCGTCTTATGTGGAATTCTTCAAATAGTACCACTACTAAGACTTATACTAGTAATACTATACTACTAATAATACTACTACTACTAGTTTGCTATTGCTGCCGCCGGTAGTGGTGCTGCTGCTGCTACGACTGTTGCTGTTGCTGCTGCTACTATTGCTGCTGCTGTTGCTGCTGCTGCTGCCGTTGCTGCTGCTGCTGCTGTTGCTGGTGCCTATCGTCTACTCCTCTATAGTATGAGGTATTTTTTTGTTGTGTTCGTATGCAGCTGCAAGAAGGGAAGACAAGTAGCTGCTGCTGCTGCTGCAGTGTCGTAGGTGTGGTGCTTCTAATACAACCACTACTAATACTACTACTAATACTACTACTACTACTAGTACTTCTACTACTACTACTACTACTACTACTACTGATTTGCTATTGCTGATGCTGGTGGTGGTGCTGCTGCGGCTACGACTGCTGCTGTTGCTGCTGCTACTGTTGCTGCTGCTGCTGCTGCTATTGCTGTTGCTGTTGCTGCTGCTGCTATGGCTGTTGCCTTTCTTTTACTCCGCTATAGTATAGGTATATATTTGATGTTTTTGGGTGCAGCTGCAAGAAGGAGAGACAAGTGGCTGCTGCTGCTGCTGCTGCAGCGTCTTATGTGTGACGCCACTAATATAAGCACTACCAATACTCATACTAAGACTAATTCTACTACTGCTACTCCTACTACTATTAATACTACTACTACTACTACTACTACTGGTTTTGCTTCTGCTGCTGCTGGTAATGCTACTGGTGTTGCCTTTCTTATACTCCTTTATAGTATGAGGTATATTTTTGCTGTTTGTGTGTGCAGCTGCAAGAAGGAGAGACAAGTGGCTGCTGCTGCTGCAGCGGCTTCCTCCCCACATCCAGACCGAATGCATGCGCATTGTCGTATATTACTCTTCGATCTTGCTGCGGTTGAAAATGTACGTTTCTTCTTTTCCTTCTTCTTCTTCGTCTTCGTCTTCTCCTGTTTCTTCTTCTTCTTCTTCTTCTCCTTCTTCTTCTTCTTCTTCTTCTTCTTCTTCTTCTTCTTCTTCTTCTGCTTCTTCTTCTTCTGCTGCTGCTGCTGCTATTCAGATAGTCGAGAGAGGCGAGAGGGGTGTTGTTTCCGTTGTGCTGCTGCTGATTCTTCTTCTTCTTCGTCTTCTTCTTCGTCGCCTCGTTCCTCTTCTTCTTCATCTTCTCCTGTTTCCTCTTCTTCTTCTTCGTCTGCTGAAGCTGCTCGTGCTGCTACTGCTGCTCTTTCAGCTGGTTTTATGCTGCTGTTGACGCTGCTGCTTCCGCCGGTACTGCTGCTGCTGCTGGCGATGCTGCTGCTGCAGATACCGCTGCAGTTGCTGCTGCTGCCGCTGCCACTTCGCCAGCGCGCTGATGGCGCTGCTGCCGCTGATGCTGATGCTGCTTCTGGAGCTGCTGCTGCTACTGCTGCTGCTGCTGCGGCCACTTCGTTAGCGCTGGTGCAGTTGCACTGGTCACGGCGCCGGTGCTGGTGCTGTTGCTGATGCTGCTGCTGCTGCTGATGCTGCTTCTGGGGCTGCTGCTACTGCTGCTGCTGCTGCTGCTGCCACTTCGTTAGCGCTGGCTCACCTGCACTGCTGATGGCGCTGCTGCTGCTGCTGGTGCTGCTGCTGATGGCGCTGCTGCTGCTGCTGCTGATGGCGCTGCTGCTGAAGCTGCTGCTGATGGCGCTGCTGCTGAAGCTGCTGCTGCTGCTGATGCTGCTTCTGGAACTGCTGCTGCTACTGCTGCTGCTGCTGGTGGTGGCGCTTCCATCGCCCTGGTCCATCTGCACTGCTGATGGCGCTGCTGCTGCTGGTGCTGCCACTTCGACGGCCCTGGGCCACCTGTACTGCTGATCTGGGTGCTGCTGCTGGTGCTGCTGCTGCTGCTGCTGGTGCTGCTGCTGCTGGTGCTGCTGCTGCTGCTGGTGCTGGTGCTGCTGCTGCTGCTGGTGCTGCTGCTGCTGGTGCTGCTGCTGCTGCTGGTGCTGCTGCTGCTGCTGGTGCCACTTCGACGTCCCTGGTCCATCTGTGCTGCTTATGTGGCTGCTGCTGCTGCTGCTGGCGCTGCTAGTTCTAGACAGGCGATGATTGTTTGCTGCTGCTGCTGCTGCGTATGTTGCTGTTCTGATCCTGCTGCTGCTGCTCCTGCTGCTGCTGCTGCTGCTGCTTCTGCGTTTGTGCGGTGGGGATGCAGAGACTCCGACAGGTGCAACAGATGGCAGCTGCTGTCTCGTCTCCGCTGGTCCTATGTCATGGAGACCTTCTTCCTGGGAACATAGTCGAGACAGATGAAGGTATATATATATATATATACATATATACATATATCTATATATATATATATATAGATATATGGGTGCGCGTATAAGCGGCTGTGCACGTATATGTCTATCCGCATATATATATATATCTATACATGTGGATGTATGTCTTCATGTATAAACTCTTGTATATATATACATATAGATATATATATATATATACATATATGTATCAATATGTATATATATATACATATATATGTTTGTATATTTGTATATCGCAGAGACTCCGAGAGGTGCAACAGATGGCAGCTGCTGTTTCGTCTCCGCTGGTCCTATGTCATGGAGACCTTCTTCTTGGGAACATTGTCGAGACAGATGAAGGTATATATATATATATATATATATATATACATATGTATATATATATATATATATATATATGTGTGTGGGTGTGCATATAAACGGCTGTACGCAGATATGTATATCTACGTATGTATATTTGTACATGTAGATATATGTGTTGACGTATAGAGCCATGCATATACATAAATATATGTATGTAT